TGATTGACAGATTGTCTGAAATTTCTTTCAGACACCCAGATCTGAAAATTCAGACAAAAATGTGTCTGAATTTTTAGATAATCTTTTACACTGTAAGTCAAAGTAGCGGCGATGCTGCGTGGTTGTATCACGAACGCGCATGTAGGCGAAAGAGGAACAAACGGCGAGAACACTCGGCACGCAGGGGGGGTGAAATGAGAGGAGGCGCGGGAAAACAAGGAGAGAAACAAGTGCCCGGGTTGTACGCGCCGCGGAGGTGAAGATGCGTGAAAGCAGTGGTGCTTAGTAGCGATCTAATTATCTACGCGGCGGGATGTAGCGGCCTCCCTCTGCGCTCTTCACCGCATTGAGGAAACAAGAGCAAATTGAATCGAGGTGGATGGATGATGCCCCCTCGCCGGCCGAGGAGAGCCGAATCGCACTCCTCGAAGACGCCACCTTCGAAAACGGCCACCTTCTCGATAATTATCACGTTATACAAGTATGAGATATATCCGAGGAAATTGTGGGACAACTATATCTCTCATCGCGTGTGATTTTCTATGATTTTTCTCGAATATATTCGACGATTGCGATTATAAATTTTTAATGAAAAGAATAAATGTTCCGACTTTGAATTTCCAAACGAGTATAAAGATAACAAGATTAATTTAAAGCAATTACAGATCATCTTTATATCATAGTCGAGATTAATATATATATAAATATATTTTAGATATTAAATTTTTATTCTTCGGCATATACACCTTCTTCGTGTAGATACTTTACCTTTTGTTATTACATTATTGATTTCAATCTTTTTATTATACAGTGCATTATATATGAATAATCCTACAATAATTTTACTATCATATATATATTTTATTTACTAATTTAGAATCATCCGCGAGAAGACAGCGATTTGGGCGATCCTTTCTTTTTGATTCAACGCAGGTCGCCGATCGCGAGGAATTTCTCATGTCACGCCGCGTTACTTTATTTATCGACGTTGAACGCTTATAACCTTTTGCCTCTCGGAGTTAAAGAGCACAGACGTGAAGATTTCCTGACATATAAAATCGATTGATGGAACCCAAGAGAGCATTGTCGAATTGTTCGCAGCAGAGAGTACGCGCGAGCAGAGGTATAATTAACTTTCTTCTCTTTCAATATAAGAGTATTTGAGCGATGTTAAAAGACACACATGAAGCATTTCCTTTATATAATAACAAATAAAACTATAATTGCTTTACCTTTTTATAAGATCAAAAGTTGGGGAAAAATTTTGACTCGGGGGTTATCATTAACTGTATTAAATATTCTCTCTTATATTATTTCTAATTATATAACGAGTTTATTAATTATCTTTTTATATTTTTCTAGATTAATTTCTAATAAACAAATTACTTTTTTTTAAACTTAATAAATTTCGATTAATTTTATATACTTTAAATTCTTTATTTTTAATGATCCTAAATTTAAAATTTAATTTTATAAACTTATTTCCTCGATAACTTTTCAGAAATCAGTTCAATGATTATTATTCAATAAGTAAGATAGGGAGCACACTCGATAAACTTTTGAATTTATAAATATAAAAATAATTTCGTATCGAAAAATAACACACAGTGGCTACTGTTATCGTTTTCCTTTAGAGTTTACCAAGTGCATGGATCATGACATGCGTGAAAATTTCGAGCATGGAATTCCGATGATGACGCAACGAGATGCTCGATGCGCTCGCCGCGCGAGGATTCTCTCTGTATCGTCGGTTCCGAGGTCACGTACAATCGCGAGAGCATTGACATTACTATACCGTGACTCTCGCATGTTAATACGCTGTGACAGTCTTTCGCTGAAGTACAATGAAACCCCATAAGATACGAACGGAGAAGACGATTAGAAGCCCGCAAATACCATCCCCTTTATCATTCTAAACCTGACATGGACCAGTTCGGAAACAAGCATACGCGTACGTCCAAATAAAGTTTCGCATGTATTGCAGACGCGTATTATGTTCTAGCCAGGCAATTAACTCGCTACTTGATTAACTAGACAGAGCCTGTCAACTTTCGCGGAGAGAAGGACTTTAGCGCGAGGCGAAGAGCGAGATGGAAAGACGGTGCAGAGAGGAAGAGAGGAGGAAAGCGCGGATTCGCGCATCAAAGTTACGAAAGGGGAGTAAAAGACGAACATCGCGGGAGGAAGGAACGCGAAGAGGGCAGCAGGAAGGGGGGCTTACCTCGACGTAGAGATGCCGAAGAAAGGTACGGGGAGAGGGGTGACGAGTTGGCCCGCGGGCGTCCCGGGACCGTGAGAACATCACCTATAATATTATTTAGTCTGCCCGATGCCTCGGTTCGCCTCTCCTCTCTTTCTCTCTTTCTCTCTCTCTCTTTCTCTCTCTCTTGACCGCGCGCTCCTTTCTTTCCTCTCTTCTCCTTCCTTACCGCACCCTTTTCTACTCTGATCATTTCTCTCTCTCTCTTTCTCGCCTTTCCTTGGAAGACCTTCTCTCCTTCTATATCGTACTCCATCGTACTCTCTCTCACCGTCTCTTTCTCGTTCTCATTCTTCCTCTCTTTCTCTTTCTCGCCGGTTACTCGCTCTTTTTTTTTTCCCCGTCTCGTGTGCGCGCGCGAGAGCGCGTGTACGGAATGTCTTTCTTTCTCCCTCGCTTTCGGTGCGCCCGACACTGAAGAGGCAGCTAACTATAGGCGCTATACACGGCTTACTCGCGCGCATTAATTGCCGTCGTAAATTGTTGCGGCTTTGCCGAGTCCGAGTTGAGTCGAGCCGAGTCGGAACGAACCCGCGGCATACGAGGCACGATACCGCGGAAGAGATGTCCTTTTTTTCATCGTCACAATTTTACTATTCACTCAACTTTATCTCAACTTTCATACACGCAGTTCGCGTTCATTGACATATTACGCACTCAAATTAAGCGCCGGTTTCTCATCCGTATTCGGGCGATAGAAAATCTTTGCATCGCGTGGATCATATTTTCAAATTTCTTTCGCAAATATATTCTTGTATGCAAAAGGTGTATCTAAAATTGATCTCTATGAATATTCAAATTAAATTTTTGGAAACCTTTAATTTTTTTTTAACAGAAAAATAGTGGTTTTTATAAACTATGTTAACACGCATAGCGAATGTCAAGAATAAATCGATTTATATGTTATATGTGAGAATTGATAATAATTTTTTTAATTAAATGGGAAATTTATATCTTCAATTTATTGATTGAAACATAAAAGATTTAATGAGAAAAAACGTATTACGATAAATAATTACGTAGAGCATTTGACATGCATTTCTCATTACTTGAAAAGTCGTCGTTAATTTTAATTCATGCACGGATTTCCCTATCAAATATGTTTATACATATTATGATAAAATATTTCTTTTCTGGTGTAAGAATCCCATGAATCAAGTTCTATCAATTTATGTGACTATCAAAAGCAATATGAAAAATTCATAATAACGTAAACTATATTTCTACAGGTACACTGTCTGTATGAGAATTCTAAGAAAACCAGATAGGAAGAAAATATTTATATATCAAAACATTACACTTCAGATCTGAATCTTTATGGGGTTTCCAACCGAAATCCATGATTCTTTTGGGAAATCTATTTAGATTTCAATTAGACTCTAGAAAGTTTTCTATGTTAGGCGAAACGCATCGCGTCGTTAATAATATTTGCCTGTTTGAGTCGCGCAAATAACAAGGTGATTGTATGTCGTGAAATGCCGTATAATACGCAATCAAAAATTATTAAAATATGGAATTAATTATCGAAAGTACCATTAGATTATTTCTCTAATCTTTCTCTATATATCGTACTTTAAGTACAGCAATTATTTTCTTTTAGAAAAGAGAATGGTTAAAGGGTACTTCTTTTATTAAAGTATTTACAAAACTATTCTTTAAGGTACATTAAAGTCAAATTATTATATTACTCTTTCTCTTCGAAATATATCTCTGCAATAGAAATATTAAAAATATAGGAAAAGTTTCTAGAACCAGCTATAAGTATAATATTTAGTAAACTATTAATTAATTTTAATTTTACAATTTTAATGTTTATGTTAAAGATGTCAATTATTTCTTTACTATTGAATCATCTTTTTACGTGATGCAGACTGTTCTCGCATCCGCGCATGTATTCGCATCTGACGATATTTGTTAATGAAAATGTTATATA